AATAAGCTACATGAAATATAGCAAAGAAGAACTTATTGTACAAAGAATATTTTTATGGTTATTTTTTTTTTTTTCTCTTTTCTCTTCTTGAATTTTTTATCATTATCATTATTATTATCATTTATTCTTTTTCAAAATGTGAGATTCTTTAAGCAATATTTTTATCTATAAGCTTGACAAATATGGTACGAAATCTTTCTTTTTCTGTAATTTAAAAATACTTTCCTAAACGCCCATACAAATTGTTATATGCAGATAATGTTCATGATGGGCTATCTTTCATTTAAATTATTAGCGATTTCTTTTAAATTTTATAACAGCAATAATACAGTAATACACTTATAAGCTCCTCGTTCTTCATAATTTGTTGAGTCTTTAAAATCTCATATTTGTACACCACGATTAATACACTCCATAATTAATATAATTAATGCCTTCGGTTTAAATGTTCTACCACTTCGGAGATCATTTGTAATAACTACCGATTCACTGTCTTCCTTTTTACGATCTTTTTTTTTTAAATTTTCGACATACATTCTTATCACAATCACACCATGTAATACATGAATCATTGTACAATAGATTGGTTATGCTACCTAATTAAAATATGTACAGAAGTCATAGAAGAGGGCAGTTTTGTCTGTAAAAAAGTACACTATTTTACCTCTACATCAAAATCAAGAACAAGAAGTTTGGTCTCCTCCGTGCCGTTACGACTACCCACCGCACACACCAGTTTTGTATCACTTGCACGTATCCTCCACACAACACCACCACTTCCCCCGCTTTCAAGAGCAACCAAGTTTCTTATAAAGTCACCTAAATACATAATAAAACTTTAGGAGTTCATTAAAATAGTAATTCAGAAAAAAAATAACAGAGACAAACGCACCAGTTTTAACATCCCATAGTTTAACTGTACCATCATCGGATGAAGTAATTACAAAATGGCTATTGAATTGAAGGCAGGTGACAGCAGATTGATGCTTATTTGGACCAGATAAAGTTTGAAGGCAGTGACCACTAACAATATCCCATACTTTAACAGTTGAATCAGCATTTCCAGATACCAAAATGTTATTACGTAATTCCATTCCCGAAGTGAGCGATTGATGCCCCATTAATGTATGTCTGCATGCACCAGTTTCAACTTCCCACACTCTTATACTTGTATCCAGAGAACCACTAACAACATGTACACCATCAAACTGATAAGGAGAAAGAAGAAAACATAAATTAATATTTTTTAATATAATACTTATATATAAACAAATTAAATACTCTCTAAAATCTCCTAAAATTTGTTAAAATTTATATCTCATAATATAAAATTATTTGCAATAATGATTATATATTTAAAAAATATGTTTTAACAAAAAAAGATTATTACAATCATACAATATTATTAATTTAAAAAATTATAAACTATACAAAAAATATTTTCATATATATGTGATATAATATAATATTATAATAATCTACATAGATTGGCATAAGATTATCTGTTATATGTTGATTATTGATAGAGATACATAAATTTTCGGGAATTACAATTCATTTTTTTAAATTGATAAACATTGATATGAATAAAATAGGAAAAAAGATAATGCGAATATTCGTTTCATAAAAATTTTAAAAATTGAAATAACTTTGTTAATTAAACTATGTCAAATAAATATAAATTACAATATATTAGTTTTATATTTAATTTGCATATATAATTTGATTAATGCTTACTTGGAGAGAATAAACACGATTTGTATGTCCTTGTAAAGTGTGAAGGCACTCCTCGCGTTCCGGATTCCAAACTTTAACCATATAGTCATAAGCGCCACTGACCACTAATTTTCCATCATATTGCACACATCTAACAGCTGCCAAATGGCCCACAAGTACATGTAAACATTCGCCAGTATCTACTTGCCACACCCTTAAAGTTGCATCTCTACTACCACTGACTACTTTATTACCATGTAGATGCATACACCTTACAGTTGATGTATGTCCATATAAAGTATGAATACATTGACCAGTTTCGGCATTCCATACTTTCAAGGTACGATCTGTACTACCACTGATTACTGTAGTACCAGACATTTGTGAAGACCATACACCACCTGTATGCCCAACTAATGTTCTTAAACACTGTAAGAAAAATAAATATATAAGAACATAAAAATATAAATATAAACAATAATAAAGCTTACAGAATAATAATGATTTTATATTCTATTTTATTTATATATATATTTACATATTGAAACTTACCTTGCCTGTAACCGCGGACCATACTTTAAGAGTATTGTCATCGGAGCCGCTTACTATTCGATTACCAGAAAATTGAAGGCATGTAATAACGTGATCATCATGTCCTTTTAAAACTTTTGGTGTACGAATAGGTTTTGTCCTCCAATTCATCTTTATATTATGTTGTCTCATATATGCTTGTTTCCATGGAGATGAACAATTACCTGAATTTCTACCATTTTTACGTTTTATTGGAGGCAGATCTTTTAAATCTTCTATACCAGCTGCTCTGCATTTCTCTTTCCATAATAAATTATCGTCAGCGAGAAATCGCCAATTACGACACGTTTGAGCAGCACGTAAAAGATCTCTGGGTTCTAGGAAAGCTAACACTGACAAAGCCAATTCTTTTGGCAACAAAGATATAAAGTCCCTTTGAAATTGAGGTTCAATTACTTGCATCATATGTCTTACTTGTGTTGGTTCACATCGTTCAATTAATTCATCTATAGCTAACATTCTTTCTGCATTTGACCATCTCTAAAATTAGAAATAATATCTTTACTTTTTATAAAATTTAAAAATTTTTTCAATTAAAATATAATGTATTTCTTATACCTGAAACTGAAGAAGCCAATTACTCATTTCTGGTGGAGGATTATCTTTTGTTGGAATAACACATCTTACATGCTTACTTTTATCATCCAATTTTTTAATAATCCTAAAAATAAAAACTCATGTTTTAAAGCTTTTTTTAAGAATTCAAATTTTTTTTTTTTTATAATTTTTTTATACTATACTATTTTTAGAAATTATACTAACATTGAATGAGATTTATCTTCTGGATTAAGTTTTTTACAAGGTAAACTTGATTCAGTTTCACTTTTACGTTTTCTTTGTGGTTGAACAACATCCAAAGGTACACAGGTATGTAAAATGGGACTATGCACTCGTTGTGTAAGTGATTGTGGTTGTGATGATGAAAGTGAGCAATTGTTACTTTCAAGGTCAGGTTCACATTCTGCATCGCAAAATATTCCAGTATCACTAATCTAAAATTAAATTAATCTAGCTGTAATAATATGTAAATTTTTTTAATATAATATGATTTATATAAAATAACTCACTTCACTTTCTTCTTCACTACTGTCATCTTCTTCTTCTTCTTCACCATCTTCTCCATAATCTTCTGATTCTTCATCTTGTGCTAACAATGAATGCATAGGTTCTAATGAACTAGGTCCTGGAATACCTTCAATGCCCTCTATAGGACTTGGACTTGTACCACCTGGTTTATTATCAGTTATTTTATTAGACGACGAAGAAGGGACAGACATCACTGGCTTATGTCTGATATATAGTATTACCTAGATATGCAATAAATTTTTTTTAGTTTTTTCTTTAATATAAAAAAATCTTAATATAATAAAATTATAAAAACAAATTACATATAAGGATAAAAAAAATTTCCTACATTTTTCATTAAAAAAATTTACTTGATAGATTATATTTTTAAAACTATATATAAAAAATTATATAAAACTATATGTAAATATATATAAATTGTAATTTTTAACTATTTAAAAATTTATTCATTTTTACATTTTAAAGAATTGTTATCTTATAATTCACATTTCACTACTTTCAAACAAATAAATAAATTTGTAAAAATATAGAATTATAAAATAAAAAATTTTCTTTTTCTATCTCTTTCTGTCTTTCTTATAAAGAATCATAAGTTCTTAAAATTAAAGGAAAACTTAAAGAAAAGAATATTAATAATGTTTTGATATTAATTATGTTCAGAAAAAAAAAAGTAATTTTTCAAAATATGTAAATCTCCTAACCTTAGACGAATCCTAAAACCAAGTTAGATTCGGAACATAGCCTAGAATAATAAAACGAAGGACCGGTTAGCCACACCCTTAATTTTCATGAGATTACCACAAGAAGCAAATAAATAAAGTAGAAAGTTAGAATTCAACAAATAATTCATACTTAGATCAAATGTTTTTCTTCGGTGGCTTCCTTATTGTAAAACTACTATATGACGATGATCCAAGTTTCTTAGTTTCGATTACTGTTTCTATCATATGGTTGCAGTACGCATTTTTCGTATGTCGGTATTTTGTTAGGTTAGAATAGGATAAAGTTAATTTTTGGACTAAAGATTTAGGCCAACACGAATGCAAAAACAAAAATAAGTAATAGGTATAAACACAGAAAAAGATCCATCGGTAGTTCTCGGTAGCTCCGAAGTTTTTATCTCTTCGGACTTAGTGCTTCGTAGACAGGTAGCTGTTGCACATGCGTTCCCGTTCTTAAGCCGCATATTCATCGTATATTTTCTTATTTTTACTTTATAATTTAACTTATACGTATGAATTATGTTGTACTTTTCATAAATATAAATTATGACAGAAAAATTGATAATCAATTTCAATAATTTATTTCACTTTCAGAATTTATAATTATTAAATAAAATAATTTATTTAATCAACTTAATTAATAACTTTCAAATTTAAAATAATAGAAATTAAATATTTATATATATATATATTTTGAATTAAATTATTATAAAATTTTCATGTACAATTTTAAATCATTTAAAAAATTAGATTTAAGTTTTTATATATTTATATATATGTGTATATATTACTTAAATATTAAAATCATTTCTTTTTTAATTTTAATAAAGTGTTGTATTTTATATATAAATGTTTTCAATTAATTATATTAAAAAGATATTCTGTGAACGGGACATTATTTAACACTTTATATCATTAAGGATGCGACAAAGTATACGTACAGTATATTCAAGAATTTCTTTAAAAACGTGTTAGTGAGATATGTGATATGTCAAGCGGTGACGTTGAAGAACCGTCAAAGGAAATAGAACATTTTGTCGATGCGGTAGATCGCCGTCTCGATCATTATTTCTTTTTACTTTCTTGAGACTCTGTGTCTCATCGTGACGGTGAACTACCGTATACTTTGACAACTTTAGAACATAGTAAAGGTTAGGTACAAATTAAAGCAATACAATGGCTTCAGGTACAATATTGCAGGTGTGCCATTTAAATATATTATTTTATATATTGTTTTTATTTCATGACTAAAATAGCAACTATAATTACAAATATATTTGATATTTCATAGAAAGCTATTGATCTGGTTACTAGAGCTACTGAAGAAGATCGTAATAAAAATTATGAGGAAGCACTTAGATTATATGAACATGCTGTTGAATATTTCCTACATTCTATTAAATGTATGAGTTTTTTTAAAATATATTTTTCTTTTATAATAATTTTATTACAGAAATCATATTTAAATCTAAATTTTATTCTTTTAGATGAAGCACAAGGTGACAGAGCTAAAGAAAGTATAAGAGCAAAATGTACACAATATTTAGAAAGAGCTGAAAAATTAAAAGCATATTTGAAAAAAAGTAAGAAAAAACCTGTAAAAGCAGGGGAAGATAATTCTAAAACTGAGGATAAAAAAAGCGATAGTGGAGATAGTGATACAGATAGTGATCCTGAAAAAAAGAAACTTCAAAGTAAGTTAGAAGGTGCAATAATTATTGAAAAACCAGATGTTAAATGGAATGATGTTGCTGGTCTTGATGGAGCTAAGGAGGCTTTAAAAGAAGCTGTTATTTTACCAATACGTTTTCCACATCTTTTTACTGGAAAGCGAATACCATGGAAGGGTATCTTATTATTTGGGGTAACTTTCAAATATAAAGCTTCAGTAATTTTTTTTTTAAATACTTTTTAAAATTTTTAATATTTTCAGCCACCAGGTACTGGTAAATCTTATTTAGCAAAAGCAGTTGCAACAGAAGCCAATAATTCAACATTTTTTTCTGTGTCATCCTCAGACCTGGTAAGCAAATGGCTTGGAGAGTCTGAAAAACTTGTCAAAAATTTATTTGAATTAGCTCGTCAACATAAGCCTAGTATCATATTTATTGATGAAGTTGATTCACTCTGCTCATCACGTTCTGACAATGAATCAGAATCTGCAAGAAGAATAAAAACTGAATTTTTAGTACAGATGCAAGGCAAGAAAAATGTTTGTTATATAACAATTTCTTTATATAATGTATTATATATAATATGACAAAGTAAAATTGTAATGTATTAGGTGTTGGATCGGATAATGATGGTATATTAGTATTAGGAGCTACTAATATACCATGGGTATTAGATTCTGCTATTAGAAGAAGATTTGAGAAGAGGATTTACATTCCTTTACCAGATGAACAAGCTCGTGCTATAATGTTCAAACTTCATTTGGGAAGTACTTCTCATTGTTTGACAGAAGAAGATTTTAAAAAATTAGCTGCTGCTACTGATGGTTATTCTGGAGCTGATATAAGCATTATTGTGCGAGATGCTCTTATGCAACCAGTTAGACAAGTGCAGACTGCAACACATTTTAAACGTGTAAGAGGACCATCACCAAAAGATCCTTCTATCATTGTGGATGATTTATTGACACCATGTTCACCGGGAGATCCAGCTGCTATTGAAATGAATTGGATGGAAGTAGAAGGTGATAAATTATACGAACCACCTGTAACTATGGTAAGTATAAAATTTTTTTTCATTTTTATTCAAATTATAATCCTGTCATATTACAATATCATCTCATATAATTTTTTTTTATATTTAGAAAGATATGTTGAAATCATTAGCGACTACCCGTCCCACAGTAAATGAAGAAGATATGACTAAATTAGAAAAATTTAAAGAAGATTTTGGTCAAGAGGGTTGATATTCAAATATTTTTAAAAAAGTTATATACTTCCAAAAATATCTTTCGGTTATGTACGCACTTGCCTCATATCTTGTTTGATTACCGATATTGCTATATGTAATATTTATGTAAAGAAACTTTAACTCAGGTTTTTATTTTTACATTTTTTCTCCTTTGATAATCAGTATGATAATAATATCAACATTACATGCTCGATGTTTATTTATAAACATTATTTTTCAGAGCTAATATAAAGATTACAGAATGAACAATATATATTTTCTAATGGAAATTTGTTAAATTTTAGTCTACGATAAAACAATAGACTATTTTTTATTCAAAAATGTAAAAAAGTTAAAATGCTGCAAATCATAACATTATATAATGAATTTTGTGCGTTTTTAACTTATATAATTATTGCTATACTTGTACCTAACAAATTAATTGTATAATATGTAGGATTAATAAGTATTTCTAAACAATGTTTATGATTGTAGATTAGAAATTTATTTGTATGTTTTATAATTTTTATCTTGCTTAGACATTATCTACAACATCATTCATTTTCTTTAATAAAAATAATAGCTAATCGATTTAAATGATTCATTAATTTAAGTGAATGCGATTATATATGTAGTATGTGATATATGTATGTATTTCAAATAAGCAAACTATTCTTTTCATGTAAATTGTTTTTATTGTTAATTAAATAAATAACAAGCTGTACACGATAGAAGATCAATTTTTTTAATTCTTTAAAATACTTAGAAATAATGGAAATTGTAGAAGATCTTATAAATGTAACGAGAAATTTTTCTACAAATTTACGGAGGGCAGTGTCTTAAAAATTCAGAGTTCATATAAACCACCGTTATTGTAATATCATCACGAAATATTCGTACTACTTCTCGTGGTAACGTTAATAATTGTGATAACTTAATATGATCTATACCATATTCCGTTCCACCAAGTGCGTTTCGTAATAAATGCGTCGCTGCATTATTATCGAGAGGTTTCTTTTTTAATCCCTCTTTACGTTGCAATAACATTTTATGTATTTCTGATAATTTCATATTTTTACGAGGTAATCTTAATGGATTTAATGTTACTTTTCCGCTCATATGTTCACCTACTAAACGTACAGCTTGTAAGGGTGACATTAAATCCCATAAACCATCACTGGCTATTATAAGAAATTTATCTCTAGGTGTTAATCTATGATATTTAACTTCTGGTTTTGCTGTTAAATATGGAGGAGTATGATAATTTGGTGGAATCACTGCTTCGCCAAAATATGGTACCACTACTTCTTTTAAAATCTTTTTAGTCCACTTGTAGCGAAAATCACCCAAAGAACGAAGAGGCGCTAATTGTCCAAGAAGTCTTTCCATTTTAATTACAGTCGATTTTTCATTAGATGGATGCTCTGATAAAATTCTTTCAACTTCTGCTCGATTGTCAGTATTGTGTTCAACAGTCATTAATTTTGCAGTCCAAACATCATTTTCTATAATTAATATAATAGTAAAATAATAGTAATGATAACAAAAATATGTTATTTTTGATAAATTTGATATATATAAGAAATTTAATATCTATAATCCGTACCAGAAAGTATACCAAGTACTGCTTGGCAATCTCCTACTCCAGTAACATGAAGATGTGGACCATCTATGTGTGCAACAACTGCTACAGCACCAGACATTGCAACATCAAGAGTTATAGCATTATTAGTTTTACCTAAATTTAAAAGTGCTTCATTCGACAAATCATTATCTAATCTGAGAAATGCCTTCTCTAAAGCTGTTTCCATTTGAAATTCTTTTGTATATTCCATTTCTACTAAATCTTTTACAAAAGTTAAAAAACTTGTTTGATAAAGTTCTCTAATTTCGGAAATAAATTCCATTTTATCATTGAATGTTTGAAGAAGTTCTATTTTATTATTGGAATTAATTGTATTAAGATATTGTTTTAATAATTTTGTAGGTAATAAACATGCTGATATATAATGAAAAAGTCTTTTTGAAATAATTTGTGCACATGTACTTCCTCCATGACCATCAAACACACCTAATAATATTCCTAAAATAAATTTGTATTTTTATTATATATAAAATAAGATTTATATTTTTAATATAAAACTAAGCAATATAAAAATATATTGAATATTTTTATACATTATACTTTCAATTTTTTTCATATAATGTTTATACCTTTCGTAAATAAACATTGAGCTTCTGATCGAGTATCTTCTATAGGATTATTGGATGCTAATTGATTTGAATCATAATATTTTACAGAGTTCTGTTCATTAAATTCTTTGGTATATTCATTAGCTTGTAAGACTGCTGTAACCTAGAATATAATTACTGATAAATTTTATAAAATTAAAAAACTAATTTAGTAAAATTACATTACCTCTTGTGGTGTAAGCCGTGGCAATGCCATGTATAATCTTTGAGCACATTTGTTGCTACTCCATTCATTTTGCCTAGTACATACATTACTAATAATTTTAATTAAATTAGTGCTAACGTTTTGTAAAACCATTCTATTTCTACAATTTTGCAGTATATTTATATTAGCACGTTTTCGTGCTTTTACTTTTACAACACATTTTGTTTGTTATAGGTTATGTTAGGCATCTATCTTTTTCAATGCTTTCTAAGAATAATTGTTGTCGTAGCGTCATATGTAATATATATGTATATATTTATATGATTTTACAGTAAATATTACTGTAGTTAATAAAATTTTATATATATATATATATATCGTTATAATTTTAATAATAAAATATATTTAATTAATAATATGTATAATAATAATATTATACTATAATATGTATAAAATTAACGATATTTAAAATCTTTATGCTTTAACTTCTATCATCTTTTGAATTATAAATTGCATCAAAATATAAAACATAATTGCCTTTTTAATAACTATGATTTATATTAATATTTTTGCTTTTAATATATTTCATTTTGATGAAAATAAAAATATAAGCTGAATTTAATCATTTATTAATATTATAATATAAAATATTTAAAAAAATAGAATATATTCAATTTTTCTTATCATTTCTTTTTTGTATACAATTTATTTAAATTAAAACAATTTTATCATGCTAAAAAGAAAGAATATAATAAAAAAAATAGTCAAAGATAATTTTAAGGGCATAAGAAAAACCAATCAATAGTAAAAAAATTTTTATTTGAAATGATTATTTAAATGATGAAATTTTATTAAAAGTATCGTGATAAAAAATTTGACATGTAATTAGAGAAATCATGAATCCGAACATAATATAATAATAGATAAAAATAATATACAAATATAATACATAAATATACATTTTATATATAATAAAATATTTTATTATAATTTTATATTATAATATAAATATATATTAATTCTCAATTATATTAAAGTTAAATTTTTTTTATAAAAATCCCCTAGAATATTACTATATTATATAAGAATTAATATTGTCAAAACTGTTTCTGAAGACAATTCAGGATACAGAAATTTAAATTTGAAAACTTAGTTTATTCTTAACGGTCAATGATAGATGTTTGTATTTAAATGAATAGATTCTGCTATGGTGTTTAATAAGAAGGATTTGGCTAAAGCATTTTCGCCAAGTAAGGTTAAAAAATTTACGAAGAAACGACTTTCAAGCAATGGAACGAAACCAAGTACAAGTGAAAGTACAATTTTATCGGCACAATCTGATTCTGCTTCGCAGACGAGTATTAAGGTAATTGTAAGAGTACGACCGCAAAATGAACATGAGCTTCAAGGCAATTGTAGGACCGTTATAAAAATTGTTGATGATAAAATGCTTATTTTTGATCCTAAAGAAGAGGAAAATCCATTCTTTTATCATGGCGTTGCTCAAAAAGGTCGTGATTTGAATAAGAAACAAAATAAAGAATTACAATTCATTTTTGATAAAATATTTGATATGACATCAAATAATATTGATGTATTTGAAGGAAGTACTAAAGATTTAATTTGTAGTCTTTTGGATGGTTATAATTGTTCTGTATTTGCATATGGAGCAACTGGTGCTGGAAAAACTCATACTATGCTTGGTTGTAGCGAAGATCCTGGTATCACATATAGAACAGTAGCAGAATTATTTTCTCAAATAGAAAAACAAGGTGAACACCGTGAATTTAATTTAGGTGTAACATATTTAGAGGTTTATAATGAAAATGTACAAGATCTTTTACATAAATCTGGACCTTTACACTTAAGAGATGATGGTAGATGTGGAATAATTGTTGCTGGTCTTAAAATAATTGCTATTCAGAGTGCTGAAGAATTATTGACACTTTTAGCAAAAGGAAACAAAAATCGTACTCAACATCCTACTGATGCAAATGAGGAAAGTAGTAGAAGTCATGCTGTTTTCCAAGTTTATATTAATATTACTAATAAATTGGATGGTCAAGTAAGACAAGTTAAATTGTCTATGATTGATTTAGCTGGATCTGAAAGAGCTTCTGCTACAGGTTGTAAAGGAGCAAGATTTAAAGAAGGTGCAAATATTAATAAATCTTTATTGGCTTTAGGCAATTGCATTAATAAGTTAGCAGATGGTGCAAAACATATAACATACAGAGATTCTAAATTGACTCGTCTTTTAAAAGATTCATTAGGTGGAAATTGTCAAACAGTTATGATAGCTAACATTTCACCTTCTAACTTTAGTTATGAAGACACATATAATACATTGAGATATGCAAATCGAGCAAAGAAGATCAAGAGTCATATAAAGAAAAATATTATATCTTGTGAAATGCATGTAACTGCATATAAAACAATGGTCGAAGAACAAAAAAAAGAGATAAATTATTTAAAGCAAAAGTTATTAGCACTTGAAAATGGATCTCTACATGTATTAACAGACTGTAAAAATGATAATGTTAATAAAGAAATAGATAAAAATGCATTAACTATAACCAATGAATTGATTGAATTACTTCAAAAGAAAAAAGTTCTGAATGAAAAAATTCTTTCATTAGAAAGTGCAGATAAGATATTATGTTGTAGAATTCAATATAAAAAAGCAGCAGATGAAAGATTGCACAATCTAACAGCAGCTGTTGATACTTTAACACTTGAAGAACAAAATGCAAGTGGCAAATCAAGAGTTAATAAATCATTACATTATTTTGAACGACAAAGAGATTCCTTAAAAATACAAATGAAAGCAGCATGGGAAGAATTATGTTTAATAGAAACAGAAATACAAAAATTGGATGCAGAAGTAAAATTAAATAGACACGAAAAATTAGAAAATATGATTGCATTACAAATTTCCGAAATAGAAAAATCTAGATTACAGCAACAATATGAACATGCAAAAAAAGTAAGTAATCTTCAACAATGTGAAATAGAATCTCATTATTCAATGATTAAAATGATGAGTACAACATTACAAAATTATTATGATTTGATGAGAGGATATGGAACAATGACAGATACAATGAAAGAAGAATTTAAACAATTGATTAAGTTATTGGAAGGAGTAAGAAATATCAAATGGTCAGATATGGAAATAGTTAATCATGAAGAACGTTTTTATAGTTTGACATGCCTTAGTGTAATGCATTTAATGGATCCTCTTAATAATGAGATGCCTATATATACATTACATCTTTTAGATGAACAGAATAAAGATACTTATATTATTAAAGATACATTAAACACAACTTTCAATGCTTCATCTGTAGAAAAAGACAAAGTTTTGGATATACATGATATAAGTGCCATATTACAAGAAAATTCAAATTTGAATTGTAATAAAACAACAAAAGATAATATAGAAGAAGAATATAATAAAAATATACAATGTAAACAAGAACAGGCTAAGAAGCGTATTCTTTCAGAAAAAAATAATATAAATACAAAAAGGACTCCAACTAAACAAGCAAGAAATATATCGCCAAAAAGTAAAGATAGTAAAATTTCTTTAATAGGAAATAAAGAAAGTAAAAAACATATTCAAAAATCACATGTAACAATGAGTGCTAAAAGCATAGCTATATTAAATAAGTTAAAAGCAGACAAATTGAGAAAAGAAAATATTGATTTAAATGTATCAGATGGAATACTAAAAGTAGTAAGAGAAAAGGAAAGGAGAGGATTAATGACTACACATCCTTATCAAAAGTTAAATGGAAAACAAAAGTAAGTATAAAATTAGACAAATGATTATTGGTATTGTTTAACAGAAATTTAAAAATAGTTTATGTCAATGTTGTTCAATAATAGCAATATTTTAGAATTATTTTAGAATAGAATTTAAATTGTTAAAACAAAATAGATTCTTAAAGTTATATTTTAAAAATATATAATAAATTAATAAAATATTATTAAATAAAATATAATTAATATTTTAAAAAATAAACATTTTATTGACTTAATTTTCATTTATATTAAAGTTTACAAATAATCTTTCAATATTTTTAATATGAAATAAACTAAAAATTATGTTGTTATAGATGTATTCCAGCTTTATCTTCGTCAAGAGTTCCACGGTAGCAACAATATGAAAAATAATTTAGTGATAAAAGAAATGTGTATACTTATTAACATAATTAAAATTATTTTATCTATTAACATATAAATATAAAAAATTTTTAGTCTAAAACAATGTTATATCATATTTGTATAAAAATAATTTTGTAATAAGAAAGATAATCACAAAATATTTAAGATTATGCTATTTAAACAAAGTTATAAAAATACAAATGTATCTCTTAATGTATTTCTTGACTAAAGATATTTGTAATTCATATTACTTTTGTCAATGACATTTTTATCAATTGTGTAAAGATTGAATTCAAGATAAAAATGAAAAAAAAGAGAATAACATTAATTTAAATTTATTCGAGCTTACTAATTAATTTCTAATACTTTTTTTATATTATAATGCAATAATCAAAAATATTCATAAAAAAAAATTGATTTAAAAAATATTATTACTGAATATAAATGTAAAGTTACATTGATAAATATTATAAATAAAAGCTATTTAGCTCTTTATTTCAATATATGCTAGACATAGAATTGAAATTATATATTTTTTATATTTAAATTTTTTATTATTTCTTTATTTAATTTAAGATATATTGAAAAAGTAATTTTTTTTTAATTTTTGGAAATAGATAAATAAATTTGGATTGTTGTTATTAAAATAAATAATACTAATAAATACATTTTTTTTTATTTGTTGTATAATGTAATTACAATTCGTTTAATGAATCCAATAAGTACTAAAAATAATTCGATTCAAATTCGTATTGATAATCATGTTTATATATATTTAAAGATAGTTAATTGTCAGAAATAAGAAAAACAATGAACATGTAATGAATATGACAAAAAAAGTACTAAATAAGAAAAAGATTGGAATTAATAGATGAAAAGTGAAAATTTAATAACGAATATTAATGATCCAAAGCAATATTTTTATATTAGTTAATTTACAGATACATAATAATTTATAGATTTGTGCAAGTTTACTGAAGAGATTTGTATATAAAATTGATATTAAATCTTACAATTAGAGAATAGTAGAGGAATTATGAATAAATCAATGAAATTTGATAACACCACTTATCCACTAATTCGTAAAGAATACAATATTTATTATATATATATATATATATATATATAATATAGAATATATATATTTATATATTTATATATATATCATTATCAGGTAAATGATGTCAAGTTTATTAAATTTTGTTAATTTATTTCTTCTCTACTACTTTTAACATAGAATTCGATTTCAAATTTTATTAAGAGTGCCAGATATAAATCTCAAATCTATGGAATCATTTTAATTGCGAGTAAACTAATTGAACAAATTTCCTTGCAACAATAAATTATAATTTTTACAATTTATCATTATTATTTGATGTTATAACATTGTTATATTATCATACAATATCATAACAATAAATGATTTTTATCATATGAAAACGCTTAATATATGCGTAGAAAATATTACAAAATGTTTCCGATTAGTTTTTTTCTCTTTCATTACTTACATTTCAAAAATTTAAATTATCTAATAATAATAGATAAAACCTAGATTTTATTTGCCTTTTAGTAATTTTAATTATAATCTAAGAAAAATAAATTTTATATATTAATATTTCTGTTTAATATTCCTATTTAAAAATATAATAAACCTATCTAAATCCAAAATATCAATGAATTTATCTTGATTAATTATTACCATTAATTATTTTTTCATTATTATATTTTATTAACATTAATTATCATGTAATAAAATAAAAAATACATGATTATAATATTATTTAAAAAAATGATATATTATTTTAAAAAAATATTAATTTTAAAATTCGAAAAAAAAACTTTTTCATCATACTTGAGAAATTTTTTGATAGAATATATAATATATAATAAATATTTAAATATCCTATTTTTCACGTTTCAATCTATGTACTTCTTATCCTATTTAAATGTTTCTAAATATGTTTAGATCAAATAATGAACGATTTTTCATTATTTTTCATTATTCATTTTCATTTTTTTTTTAGTTCGATAAAGTTCAACTGAAACAAGTGATTTTTTTTTAATTTTAAATATCAAAGAACAAGTAAATAATTTTAAAAAACATTCCTATAATAACTATTGAGCATTCCAGAAATTTATTTTAATTTTTACGAATTCATTTACGTATAAAGAAATTTTTTTGACTTAAATGAGTTTACAAATAAATCATTTAATGACTTTTATACTAAAGGAGCATGAATAATGCTCTTATTTTTGTTGTAATATTGATGATCTTTTGTATTAAAAGAATATAAGCATTTTTACTTTTTTATATATTATTATATTTTAACTTGTTTAATATAAATATATCATAAAAAGTAAGTGTATTAAGTATATAATTTATGTTGAATATGAATATATGCAAATATTTAAATCTAATCAATAATAAATTTTTTATAAAATATATCACATAATTGAATGAAAAACAAATATTTTACATATAAATACAATTTTGTATTTTTTTTTTTTACAAGAATGTTTTATAATAATTGATATATTAATAATAAACATTATAATATTATTATAAATATTTATTCTACATTCTCATGAAATTTCAGATTTAATACATTTTTAACAGCTTGTTTGTATTTATTAATTGAAAATTGATTTTCTCCTTTATTTATTAAATCAGAAACTGCAGTTTTATATTCTGTTGCATGTGGGATATATTCATAATTGAAATCAATTGGTATTTTTGGCCAATTGTATGTAGATGTTAAAGATTCTTTGCTTTTACTTTTATCCCAATCATAATATTCCATATCTTCTTCAGTTTTTTCTGTTTCCCATGGTTCAACACGCTAAAATAATTCTTAGTATTACTTTAAACAAGTTTAATAAAAAAAACTAATATTAAATAACTTACCCATGCTATATGGAATAATGCAGTTAAAAGATATTTTACGTAATCTAAATTTTGTTTTCTAATTGGACATCTATCTGCTGTTATTGTTATTATATCTGTTTGAGGATTATATCTATTACCCAATAATCTAAGTATTTTGTCTTTAGCATGAACATCTAAATGCAAAGAGGATAATTTTACTTTTAAACTCACTATTCTAGCAAGAGGTTCTCTTATCGTAGGAGAAGAATAACAATAATCAGACGAAATAATTTCAATAGGAAAATATTTTGCACATGCTTCATCCGTTTTTAAATCTTCTGGCCATTTTGTGCAAAATTTTTTTTAATGCTTTACAATGTTTTTTGATCACAGGTGGAGTAAGATGTAAAAAGTTTGGAATTTTCATTAGCTCTGCATTTGCATATTTATTAGGATGTAAACCTTTAGTATTTTTATATCCTTGTTGTAAAGGAAATGGTACAATATCAGGATGAAATGTATGTGCAGCAGGCCAAATTGTTTGCCAATTTTGATTGAGTGGTATTATTTCATCTTTAGATGTAATATCTCTTATATTGTTTTGTGGTTTTTTCTTTAAAAATTTGTTTTCATCAGGCATTATCTGCAATACTCGAAATTCTATCAAAGAAAAAAAAAAACAAATAATATATAAATATAAAGACATATTATAAGAAAAAATTATAATAAAATTTAAATAGAAAAATTACCTATATCATCATCGATATTTGTTGTAAAAAATGATAACAAAGGTTTCATGACATTTTTAGCTTTATAACGTTGAATTAAAGATAACATTTTAATTATTTTTTGATTATTTATAATATCAAATAACCTCTTTTAAATCACGTTTCTATCTTCTTACATTCTACTCATGAACATTTGATATTTATTATTTTATTTAATTATTATTATTTAAGACATGTACATGTACTGTTATTATTATATATTATTATAAAATTAAATGGAAAACTTCAATTATGTTTTCTTTCTATTTAATTTTATTTGTATAATATTTATATGTAAATAGTATCTTTATGCGACTATTATTTGATCTAGCGTAATTTATTACATCATCAATTTATTATATCATAAGTTACTTTTATTTTATTAACTGTTTTTTCTATGAATTTATTTTTTTTCTATGAATTAAAATAATTTGAAATATGTTTTTGAAATTTTTTCATTTTTTAAATTAATAATAAAGAATTTAAAAATCAAAATAATAAAAATTTTGAAGATTGAAATATTAGAATCTTTTATGAAAAAGTTTTAATTTTAATAATGAAAAAAAAGGATAAAATATTCATTTCAATATAGATAATTAAAAAAGATTTGAAATCTACAATGTGTCGATTATTGAAAACATGGTTGGAAGTTATATTTCAAGAGATGACATCCTCTGTATTTATGAACATTGCGTGAATAATGTCGTCTCCTCGTCCAAAATCTCCGCGACCTCCAATATCAGCGAGAAAGGATGAAAAAGAAGAAAGTTTTTGGGATAAAATTGGTACTTTGGGCCGAAAAAAGCGTATTAAAGAAGGTATTGCATTATGTTTATGTTATATTAATGTTTTTTTTTAAGTTATAATATATATATGTATTTCCTTATATGGTATGAGTTATTTATTACTTGAATTTTTACAAAATAATTATTGATAATTTATTGATTAATTTAATTTCAATTTTTTTTTATAAAATATTTTTATTTTATTTATTATTTTATTATTTAGTGTTATTATTTTTCACAATATTTTTCATAAAAAATATTTCATTTTTAATAATAAAAATATTATAGATAATAAAAATATTATAGCTTTTTTTCTATTTAATTTGTTTGTTAAGTTCAAGAAGTACAAGAAGAAGGAAAATATGCAATTGATTCACCAGGATTTGCAGCTAATCCTGAAATGCCACCAGAAGAATATGCTTTAGATGAAAATGAAGAACGTTCAATGATAGAGCCTAGATCTTTAGAAGATTCTAAGCTCAAAGAATTAATATTTGTTTTAATTGAATGGATTAATGATGAATTAGCCGATCAACGGATTATTGTAAAAGATATTGCTGAAGATTTATATGATGGACAGGTACTACAAAAATTATTAGGTATGTTAGCAAAATAAAAAAACTTTTTCTAGTAATCTAAATAAACATATTTTTTCATTAATTTCAGAAAAATTAACAGGAGAGAAATTAGATGTACCTGAAGTAACTCAATCTGAAGAAGGTCAGAAACAGAAATTAGCAGTTGTTTTGTCTACTGCTAATCGAGTATTAGGTCGTTATCCTCCTTATAAGTGGCACGTAGAATCTGTTCATTCAAAAAATATTGTTGCCATTTTACATTTATTAGTTGGCTTAGCAAGACAATTTCGAGCACCAGTTAGATTGCCAGAAAGAGTAGCTGTTCAAGTTGTAATTGTGCGCAAAAAGGATGGTCAGTTAACACACAATACAATTAGAGAAGAAATTACATCAACTTATGATGATTTGGGAATGCGTTGTGAACGAGATGCTTTTGATAGTCTTTTTGATCATCCAGCTGACAAATTAGCTGTGGTTAAAAAAGTATGTTATACAATACATTTAAATTATAGAAAATATATAGATATTATATATAAATGTTATTTTACAGTCATTAGTTTCTTTTGTCAATAAACATTTAAGTAAAGTTCATTTGGAAGTGACAGATTTGGATACACAATTTCATGATGGTGTTTTTTTAACACTTCTACTTGGACTACTTGAAGGCTTTTTTGTACCTTTAGGTAGTTTTCACTTAACACCTAAAACTCATGATCAGAAAGTACATAATGTTTCATTTGCATTTGACATTATGCAAGATATTGGCCTACCAAAACCCAAGGCTCGTCCAGAAGGTATCTATATAGTATCATTTGTAATTTTAATATTATAATTATAAAAAATAGAAAATATGTAAATATATTATATTTTATTTACAGATATTGTAAATTTAGATCTCAAATCAACTCTACGAGTATTATATAATTTATTTACAAAATATAAAAGCATGAATTAAATAATTAACATTAACAAAGATTAAATAATTTAAAAATAATAAACATAACGAAACTGAATAAAATAACGATAATTAATTAAGATTAAGATATTAATATTTTAATCATAGAATATGTAGTTTTTATAATTGATATATGACAATATATGATCAATGAAGATGAAGGATTTTATTCAAGAAGAGAATTCAATATTTCTTTAAGATTATAGTTTTTATATTATTATTTGAATCAAATACAAGAAAAGATTAATTTTATATAAGAAAATTAATTTTGTATATTATATATTATAAAATTTTAAATATAAAAATTTTAATATTGTTAAAATAATTAATGGTATTAAAATTATTTTTTTATCCTGAATGCAAATTTTATTATTAGATGAAGTAATGTTTATACTTCATATGTTATATATAAAGTATAAAATATACTTTATTATATATTATATAAATGAAATAAAGTTATTTATTATATATATATATATATATATGTTGACATATATTTTTACACATTCTGTGTAAATAATAATGGAAATATATGATGATACAATCATTAACTAATTTTGCTTTCAAATATCTTTTATTATAATTATTAATAATATATAGCATATTCTGTAACTAACAATATAATCAATAAAGAGTTATTTTATATTTTATAAAAAATAAGTTAAAAAATTTTATAAAAAAATAAGTTAAAAATATAGAATAAAATTTTTTCATTTGAAATTTTTTTTTTTGAGTAAAACGAGTTTGAAAAATTTTCAAACATAATTAATATTTTCTGATAAAATACGAATGAATAAATAAAAATATTATTTTATATATGAAAATAAACAAAAAATTTAGAATAAAATTTTATCACTTAATTTCTTATTTTTGAAAAAATTAAAATTAAACGTATGTAATCAAATTGAATAATTTATTAAAGTTTCAAATTGAATTTTCTTGAAAATTAAAGTTTAAATGAAAAAAATTTATTTTATATTTTTTGCGATGCTAATAACTTATAGATACTAATAAAAAAGGAAAAAATAAAAGAAATATATATTTTGTAACCAATTAATATATTCATAAGAACGTATAGTTTTTAAAATCTTGGTAAATTTAAAATCGATTAATTTTATTTAATCTACCTAAACAAGAGTACATTTTTTAAAGCGCATAATCTGTTAAATAAAATATTCAAAATTGCTGATCAATTTCAAACAATTTACCAAGTTAAAGGACTGAGTTATCCATTGTTATTGAAATCGATTGATAAATAATGATAGAGCAGAATAACGAAATATCCATCGATCGTTATTTAGATATACCTATCCTTTTTAAGAATTCGTATATAGATGCTTATGCATTGATTCAAATAGAATTGCTTCTGCAATTTCAACGATGTCAAAAGAATTGCGATTATATAAGAAATACGCTAGTTTTGTAAAACTTTTTCTCCTCATTGGTGGAATGTGTCCAATTACAAGAGAACTGAATATCATTTATCGATATATACCAATTTGGACGATATTTTCTTGCTTTATAGAGTTGTGTGCAGTTGGAAACTCTAGCCTGCAGAATGTTGAAAATATTCCTTTACTTACTGCTTCACTTATTCTCTTTGGTACCATATTGAATGTAATAACAAAGGTATGCAAGTTTATTTGTTCTTTAAGTGAATTTATTTTAAAAGAATTGATTTTTTTGTAATATAATTTGATCTAATATAAATATGAATAATCGAATCGATTTTTATTTGATATTTTATAATAAAGTTCCTTCCTCAGGCTTCCTGTTTTTTCATCCATCGAAAAAAATTACAACAAGTAAATGATATACTCAGTTCCATTTTAGAAGAAATATTGGGTGAAATATATATAAAGTCAGTAATTTTATTCTATCTTCAAAAGTTTTATCGATTGATTTATGTACAGGCAATATTAATGTTCATCACTAGTATCATTTATTCGATGAAACCGATGATTATAAAAATGTTTCATGATGCAAACAATATAACGAATGTGCAATATCCTTTGCCTCTTCTCGGAACTTTTCCTTGGAGGATCAATTCGATATTAATTTGGCAATTGCATTATTTTTTCGATGTAAATATTCTTTGGTTCATATTTTTTGTATCTGTTAGTGTAGACGCATTTTTCGGATTTTGTATGTTTCGTATATCTGTAATATTACGTTTTTTGAGTTTTGAATTCAAGAGATCTTCAATTGATGACAAAAATAAAAGGAATAAAGAATATGAAAAGAGTCATCAACAAATCTTTCGAGAATGTGTCGAAAAGCATGTTTTATTGTTAAAATGTCGAAATATTATTCAAGAGATTTACGGACCCATAATTTTATTAGTGACTATAACAAATGCAATGAGCATGTGTTCTATAATATTTCAGCTATTTCAGGTGAGAATTTTAATAAAAATGATCGAAAAATGTTTATTTTACAACAATTACATATTTACATGAATAACATACTGGTTAATTATGTTTAAATATATTTGTGCTCTGCTATATTATTTTTTACTAATAATTCTTTAAACAAATAAATAAATAAAATATTTACATATATATATTTATATAATATAATGTAATATAATATAATATAATACATATAAATAATATACATATATATAATATTTCTCATTTATATACATAATCAATCAATATTATTAGAAATATTATTTAAAATTACAAAAAAAATTAATTCTAAAAAATAACGTTTACATATAAAAATAAGAAATATTATTTTAAAAAAGTGAATACATCTGAAAAATTGCATGCAAATATATAAAATAAATTTGTTTTAATAAACTACAATTTGATCGATTTTCACCGATTCTCATTTTCAATTCTCATTTCACATATCAAACATGAAACGATCTATTTCACAGGTTAATGGAATAAATATCTATAAAATTGGAACATTCATGGCTTACCTTATCTTAAAATTAATACAAACATTTTTATATTCATGGCCCGGAGACGTAATCTTTACTGAGGTTCGTACTAATTAGAAATATATTTTTCGTTATCTTAAATTGTTTATGAATAAGCGTGCAAACAAATGATTAATGATCGATCAATGATAGTGATCGCAAACACCATTTAATTTTCTCTCTTCATAGAGTGAATTTCTTCGTCGTAATGTTTATTGTAGTTGTTGGTATGACAAGAATACTAGTTTTGCAAAATACTTTTTGTTAGTATTAGCACAGAAGCCAATTGTTTTGAAGGCATGTAGTTTAGTACAAGTTACAATGGATCTTTTGGCCAAGGTAAACTGTTCATTGTATTATCATTGTTCCCATCCTGTTATTACTCATATGAAAACAATTTCATTTTCAGATTTATTTTTTGTATGCTTTTAGATCATGAATACGACAATATCCTACTATTTTTTATTAGAAACTATGGATAATAAATAGTATAATAATAATAATAATAATAATAATAATAATAATAATAATAATAATAACAATAATAATAATAATAATAATAATAAAATTAGTAATAATAATGATGATGATAATAGATGAAACAGAAAAAAAATGATTCTCAAGAAATGACTTCGAATGATGGAATTTTCTTTTTCTTTTTGGTAGATATAAATGAAAGCAATCGAGATATAATATGTATTATGCATATAATATAATTATATTTTTTTTAAATTTTATCAAACTTAATTAATTTATATATATAATAGAATAATATCAGTTAAAAAAATTTTTTTTCTTTTTTTTTCTTTTTTAATTACTTTTTATTTTTTCTTCGTTTTTCTTTTTTTATAAAGATATTTTTTTTTATGATTATTTATCTAATTTTCATTTATTTATTCTAAGAATTTATTGATTTAAGTTTGTACCAAAAAAAAATACACCATTTTGACATTTATCGTTCTACATTATGCGATATATTATGCGATGTTCCAGTTTATTCACTGAGTTAAATATGTATACATATAAAGAATATAAGGAATAAATTGAATGATGCACGAAAGAGACATGAAGCAAACTGAGAATTGCCGAGAAAGCAAGACTTATCGTGATCGACTTATTGCGAATTGTGATTTTCGTTTATATCCATTTATATTCGCGTAAACTGATAGATATGATATTGAGGAAAATATTACCGAAACACGCGACGTTGCGGCATGTTCTTGCGCTCGTAGCTAGCAATCTGTTTTGCTTTTCTCTTCCAAGGTATTCAACGCGTATACCATTATCACGGTACTGTGGTTCTACTACGTTTCTTATTCTTTTTTAATTCATATTTTTATATTCTTTGGTAAGTCAAATGATATTACTATTATTATTATTGTTACCTTCAGTGTATTCAATATTTTTCGATGGATTACATTATTTTATATATTTTTCGATTTCTTTTCGAAAATTATTTCTTGAATCACGCACCGGCCATTATTATCAATTATTATCGAACCTAACCTAACCACTTAAAATTAAATGATCATGCATTTGATCATCGACTACCATCAACTGTTATATGATAGATGTCATTGAATTATAAATGCAATGTTAATCTGTATTGTAAATCTGTTTTGATATTGCAGTATGCAATATCAACTTCAATTCTAATGTTTTAAATAATCTTTGATATAAGATGTTAGAAATTATAAATCAATCGAAACTGTTAATAATAATTGGTAATAATTGTAAGATGATGTACAATAATGTTAAGATTTATTAAAAATATATTTTTTTACAATATTTTAATTAAATATTTATATTTTATGATTTATATCTAATTTTTTTTATATAATTCATGATATTTATAATTTATTTCATACATATAATTACTGAATTTATCATTTCTATTTAAAATAGAATTGAATTTTAATTCAAATGGCTGTCGATCAATAGCAATAATTAAATACAATCGCTTTTTTTTGTACTTGTATAAAGTTCTCGATTCAATTTTTCCTAATATTGTTAAAAAAAAAAAGAACTTCATTAATAAAAACGAGAGATTTCTTCAATATGAATAATAAAGATGATGATACGAAGCTAAAAGAATATTTAACTGGCTATTTGAAAATTATAACAAACTTGAATATATCTGTTTATCAAGGGAGAATGTTTGAAGAATGCGCCAAAATCTTTCGTATTTTATTGGCAAATTGGAGACGAAACAATAATCAACTTCATGACAATGAATTAAACGAAAACTTGGAAGATTTGATTTTACCAAGCAATGAAGACTGGCGTTATCGAGTCTATTATCAACTGGTTGAATTACAAAGAGAATCTGGTGCCATTTTTATAAAAAACAGGTAATAATTTATTGTGATTTTGTTTTTCTGTAAAATCCACCGAAGATGCATGCAGATTAATCAATTACCAATTAAGTTTCTAAATTATAAATTAGCAATTGTTTATTAATTTTTTAATAATTTCATGCGTTTAAGCTTCGTTTCATTATAATAACAATATGAACGTTGCTATTTTATTTTTTCCAACTTGAATTTATCCAATACACCGATTGACCTTTTCTGATATTTTGTCGATTTAATTTTGAAATATGTATTCATATTAATTCTTTTTTCTCTAATTATAATTTGATCACGATCATGATTCATCCGTCTGATGAAAGTTAAAACACAATTAACAAATTAATCGGTTTATATTATATAATATCGATATGCACGTTTCATTTGTTGGGCGATAAACGAAAGTAAATAATGGAAAAGTAAGATTACATCTCTTCATCGATCATGAATTCATAACAATAACGAGAGAAATGATCTATAACTAGTAATGAAATCGAAGGGTCAACGAAACTAGATTGGAAACTGAAACAAAGTTAGAAGTGAGACGTAAGAAAAATGAGTGGGAATGGGAGCCACAGAGATACGGATATAGTTTTAAGGCTAAGCCTAGGCAACAAGAAGGATTGAAAGGAGGATCATCGACTATCGTCGATGGTTCGATGATAGAAATGTGCATCGAGCCAGGTTGGCGCCTTAACGATATTTTATTGGCGGTGAAGGTCCTTCGAAAAACTAGTCCACCTCCAGTATATTCAGATGAGGCTGAGATGCGTCGTGTATTCGGGCTTGTTTATGATGTTTTTAGATGTAAGTCGATGAGTATTCATGTGTTAAGATCGATTATGAATTTTTGTTATTATATTTATACTTTCATCTTATTTAATTATTATTAATTAGATAAAAAAATATTCACTCGAGCTTTGGAAGATATAGGTTTTTGGCAACGTAACAGGGCGATCAAGAACGAAGAAAAGATCGTTTGGTTGTTATTATATGACATGCAAGGAAGAAAATTTTCGAAACCGCGATTTGATAACACTACCTTTGAAGAACGTGAAAAGATCTTTAAGGTAAGATTTATGATATTTCTTTTCTTCTTTTCTTTTATTTAATTACTGTATATTTATTTTTTCTTTTTCTTTTTCCCATTTTTGTCCATTTTTATTAATAGTTAATAAATAAATGCATTCTCTTCTTTTTCTCACTTTCTTTCTCTTTTTCTGTGCGCGCGTACGTGGTTCGCGTTTTGGAAATTTGCACAATTGTATTTGTTAGGCTGCTGGATTGACGGATATCGACCACGCTCTTTCGGAGATGAAAATCCATCTTGCCGCAAGCATTTCGCGGCTACGTATTCGCGGTTCTGCCCTCAAACTTGGTGAATATTTTTTCTTTTGACGCGATATAGAAATTTGATAGAAATAAAGTATTTAGTTTTAGAACAATAATACATATACATTATTACTGATATTATATTTAATATCTGGAAGATGAATTGCTACCGAGTCATTTACGCGACATCGAAGGTGTCACTTGGGGCGTACAAACGGCTGTCGCTTCTGGATGGATAAACACCTTGAAATTTGTCAACAAGGAAGAATTTCTAAAAGAAATGTCGGAATTGAAGTTGAAATATTGCGAAACAAAAAAAGAATTGATAGAACTTGAAGAAAATGAGTTTGCATTCGATCCTATTTGCCCGAAAATAATTTATTTGCACGACAGCAAGCGGGAAATGCTGGCTGTTTCCAGGCTCGTTTGTAATCATCGTTTTGTATTTTTAGTAGGTAGCTGAGGCAAGAGAAGCAAGATTATATAAAAAATGGAGGATTATATAAATTAACAAAGATTTATTCAAACGAATAGGAGAGATCATTGTGCTTGGGTGCGGCAACATTGGCACAGGTAATCCGTAACTGTAGATTCTATGGCCCGGTGATTTTAACGCATTCACTTGCACCTCGACATACCGGATATCTGGCCGGACTATTGGCCGATATTGAATACGCTGGTAAACTTTTGGTCTTCGGAGCTGGTGATCGTCGTTGCGAGTACGAAAACTATCTAAAAGATCTTGATGTCACATTGCAACAATGTCGCGTTTTTTCCGAAAAGTATCTATCTATTCATTTACAGTAAGACCCATGTATTCTCAGGAATGAGTGTCAAAAGTTTTCTTCCGTGGATAGCTTTTTCCACGGATAATATAGAACGATAAGTGTATGCATATTACGCATGTATGAAGTAACGAATAATGAAGAATAACGCACAAATATATAAATATTAAAAACAAAACTATATTAATCAACGAATGTATAATATTGGCACAGTTTATATGATGAAATGAAGTAAACAATATAAACAATGTAATATTATATTTTTACTATTATACTATTTAATTACTATTACTATTTATTTGATTTCTATTTTTTTGAACTACAACCATAGATACTTGAAACTGCGGATACGAGGGTTTTACTTATCCATTTATTTACTTATCTATCTATTTATTTATTTATCTACCTAATCTATTCATCTATCTATCTATTAGAAATTTCTTAAAAATTAAATATATATATATATATAGCTTAGATGAATTATTCACTTAAATATATTTGATTAGTTTTGAGATAAATATCCAGAGTAAAAAAAAAAGTTTAAAATAATGCTTTTTTTTTACTTCATGACCAGCTTTTTTAGAAATAATATTCTTATTTTAATATCTCTGTTTTAAATTCTCTTGTTTTAAAAGTTAGAAGATGCATAGAACATAAAATATTTCAATGTATCTTGGAAAATAAAAAAATGTTAAATAAAATATTTTCACCAAGGAGGAGAACAAATATTAGAGACATTGGTAGCAGATTTAATATTTTTGATTAAATGAAATTTCTAAGGAATGAATGAATTACATTTAGATACGTGTCTCATCTATCGACGATCGAGACAGAGAGAGCAACTGTAGTGCTGGCAGTTCCAACGTGTACTTATACGGGTGTCCGAGATATCGTCGATCTTGCAGTAGCACGAGGAGGAGATGTAGATCTTCTTGAATCGTTGACGAATAATTACGTTCACAATGTTCATAATAATGACAATGATGACAATAATAAATATTACAAAAATCAGGAACAATGGCATAGTTTCTTATCCGATCAAATGTCCACTTTGAAATATGCTTTGACCAGGCCGAATGTACAATTTCTCATATACGAAGTACACACAATTTTACCATCAGAAACAACGCAAATGGTTCGGGAAGTGGTAGAGTGCGTTAATCAGATGGCTAAGGAAAAATATATTCATGAAAATCCGGTAATAAACTTATTATCTTTATTTTTGTTAATTGATGTTATGCAATTTGACAAATTTTAAAACTACTGTCTTACTTTCTTTTTATTTCTTATCAAAGAAAAAAGCTCAAAAAGAAATGTCAAAATTGGCAAAAATGGACGAGGATTCGCAAAAAAATGATAATATCTCGATAAATACTTCAAATATTATTGTAAGATACAATATATTCACTCAACATAATAATATATGCAATTTATTTACGATCTTGTTTAAATTTACTAAGAAAATTTTTACAATTATAAGATTCCAGATACCGATCTCTTCGAAGTAGGCAACATTGATGACATTTACGGACAAAATGTTAGCCACATGCTGGATCCAGGATGTTTTCTCGCGATAATAAAACGAAAAGAAATGATGCAATTTGATTCGTTGTTCATGATCAAAGTGGCAGAATCGAAAGATCTATTCGGTAATTCGAAAGCGCAACATTCGAAACACGAACTAATTCTGAACCGAGGAATACAAACCTCGCAATCAAGCACACGAAAACGAGCAAAACGTATCAAGGTTATTAATTATTCCAACTATGAAATTCTATTTATATATATATATTTTTTTTAATAAAATTATTCATTGAATAAATATTTATAATTTTCACAATATATATATATATATTATTTCACAGTATATGAGTTAATATATAATAAATTTAATTGTATTTGAATATAATTAGATATTTCTGCTTTTTCTTTTTAAAGGTGGAAATAGACCGATTAATGGCGCATACGTATTCCTCGTTATCAAAAACCGGACAAGAAAATCAAATTTGTCCACGACATAAACATTGCTCCAATTGGAGTGAAGGAAATGAGTATCAGGTATAAGAAAGAAAAGAAAAATAATTTCTCTTGTTGAATGAATACAATTAATGTTATTGAATGATTTTTTTCAATAGTATTTTTTTCCAAAAAACGAGAATTGAAATTCTTTTAATAAATTTAATTTTATTTCATTAGACTTGGAGAAAAAAATTTACCAAATATTTTTTTTAATTATTTTTGTTTTTCATTTATCGTTTATTTTTGCATGGTATAATAATTTAATTTTATTATTGTTGTTTAATTAATATTACATATTTGAAAAATTTCAAGTTTAAAGCGTGGCGAAAAGAAAAAAGAAATGTGTCTCATAAACCCTTATACGTTTCTTCATCGCGACATAAGGTAAATTAAAAAATTATAATATATTAACGAGTTAATTTAATCCCAAATTATATTTTTGAAATTTTTATTAAAAACAGGAATTACAAGCGATACGTAAAATATTTTCGGCCCGATCAGAAAGTAATGCATCTACTTCACATGACATACCGAAACACGATAAATCTTCTATATTGACTAATTTGCTCAGCATTGAATCTCTGCCACGGTAACTATATACTAATTATATTTTATATAAAATCCTTTCTTTATTTTTTTTTTTTTATAAATAATTCATTTTATCTGGCCGATCAAAATTAGAAAAGACTTGACTATTAAATTGGTTATTAAATTAATTTTAAATTGTGCATCTATATCTTCTGAATGCAAAAATTGTTGAGAATTCATGTTTCGAATTTATTATGCAAATTTTATCTCGATCGGTTACTGATATTTTTCAGAACAATACGCTTTATTTTCTATCTTTATGATCTTTAAAACTAAAAACATTTTAAAACTCATTTCAAAACTAAAAACATGTATGTGCATATGTATAGCCAAGAATATCATACCACTTCGTCGAGTACGATATTGAGATCACCGATTCTTGCTAGGGCAGTACGTCTTATTCCGTTAGAGGATACAATTAATATTGAGGAATGTGAGGAAATGAGAAAGCAAACACGGTCAAAAATGGGTCATCGATATTGGACATCGAGCAAACCGTCTCGCCTTCTGCATCCTATTGGATCTCAAGTGTTCGATCCGTTTCTTGATATCGTTTAAGACAATTGAAATTTTACAATCAAGAATAATTCAAAGAATAAAATTAAAAATAAAATATTGCATAAAAAGTAATATTTGAAAAAAAAATTGTAATGAAAGATAAAATAAAATAAACAGTCTACATTGTAAAATAATAATAAAGTCACAACAAATGATACGGTATTTTTCTGGAATAACAATCTTTTCTAGAGATTCTCTAAATTATAAATAGATAAATAGAAATTTCATAATAAAATAAAAAAATAAGAATAGACATAAAAATAAAAAGAAAAAAAATTATCTGAAAATAATAATACATTTTGATGATGAAGTTTTCTGCTAATGTATATTTTTTATTTAATATATTTAAATTTAAATATATTTTTTATTTAATTGCTATTGTATATTATACATGTATAATATGTATATAATCTACCTTATTCTAAAAAAGAAATTTGTGGATGTTTATTCCATCCTCTTACTTTCTGGATTTTTTTTTAAATTACTATTTATTTGTATATTTAAAAAATTAAATTTTTTTCAAATAGAAGCTAACAGAAGCTATTTCGATATCTATTTTGTAAATAACTCTAAGAATTAAAGATTCAGAGTCAAAAATAAAATTATGAAGTTCCCAAATAGATAGAGAAAAGTATATATAAAAGAAAAAGAGAAGAATTTTTGGAATTTATAGAATTTATAGAATCAAAAGAATATTGTTGAGAATGAATAATAAAAAAGATTTTATGAATAATAAGAAAGAAAATTAAATTGAAATAAGAAGAAATTATAGCTATATTTAGAATTTTATTTCAATTATGTCCGATCAGAAAACGATATTTGTGATCATATAATAATTTTAATTTTGATGTTCAAATGTTCAAATTAAATTGCTTGAATTGCGTGAAGATAGGAAATTATCAATGTTAAACTTGAGAAATGATAATCAACGACAAATACGACAATTTTGAAACTAATAAGTTTAAAAATGTATTTGTTAAAATTACTTCCAACTTTATTACATGGACGACATCCTGTCTTTCTTCATAAAGGACAAACCAAAGCACTAACAGTAGATGCGGTAAAATATAAATGCGCATTCTGCTTTATATTACATTATATTTATAATAACAATATTATATATCTGAATAAGTTCTATATCTCTATATTCATAAATAGTTAAAAAAGAATTACATAAAACTTATTAATCCTTCTTATTTTAATCCTCCATGGACAATCTATTTTTCAAATGCGGTAAATAATTTTAGAATTTTATTCTCAAACCTGATTTTTTATTTTTCTAAGCTTCGTAAAAATTTAAAAAAAAATCTGAACTGTATATAAAACACGCTAATTTAATTAGTATGTAAAAACATTTAAAACATTTTTTCAATAAAAAAATAAAAACTCGTTTAAAAGAAATTTAAAAATGGAATTTCCTATTTTAGCAAGCTATGTTACTTACAAAGTTTTAAGATTAAAAATTATATATTAAAAAAGTACAATTTTTCTTATATCACTCAGACATATAAACTGTATCGCTTGGATAAAGGGCCATCGGACAAAGCCTCGATGAAAGAAGATGACGTTCTTTACGCATTGAAAGCGATGCACTATATCAGACGAATAGAAAGCAAAGCGGCAGAAATGTACAGATTGCGTTTCATCTATGGTTTCCTTCATTTATATATTGGTCAGGTAAATTTTATGATTAATCGAATTAATAATATTCGGGTGTCGTCATAAATACGATAGAAACAGAAAAAAAAATCTAACAATAAGAATGAGACGAAAAAGAGAGAAAAAAAAAGAAAGGAGAAAAAAAAATATATATTTGCACAGGAAGCAATAGCCACTGGTATGAAACCGGCGATATCGGAAAAAGACGCTTTGATCACATCTTATCGGTGTCATGGATTTGCTGTGGTACTTGGCATTTCGGCACGACACATTTTTGCGGAATTAATGGGTCGAACAACTGGAACTTCGAAAGGAAAAGGTGGTTCCATGCATATGTACGGAGAACAGTTTTATGGAGGCGAAGGAATTGTTGGTGGTCAGGTATAAAATAGCTCGAATCGAGTTTTTTTTCTCTCTCTCTCTCAATCGAGAATACTATCCCTTAAAAATTAGAGAATCAATATATCATAAATTATTGATGATATTCGTTATAAGATAATTATACTAACCGTTACAATATGTTTATATATAAAAACATTAAATTAGAAATAAATTTCAAAACGCATTTATAGACAAATTGTATTAATAAAAAATATGAATAACAATAGTTTTTTTTTTTCTTTACAAAATTCTCGTTAAAACTCGAATTACGAGATTTTTTCTTTAGGAGAAATAAATCTGATTCTATGTAAAAAGCGGATAAGATTTATTTGAAAATTAATAAAGGACAAATAGATTCTAAATTATTTTAATATATGTTGAAAAAAATAGAAAAAAAATACTAGTTAAGCGATTTTAATTAAGGAGAACAATTATCATTCATAATTCATAAAATATATTGGTTTCTTGATTGTGATAGCTACCGGTCGGTACTGGATTAGCATTTGCTCAAAAATATAATAGTACAGGCGGTATTGCGTGGGTAATTTATGGAGATGGTGCCGCGGATCAGGGTCAAGCCTTCGAAGCATATAATTTGGCAAAATTGTGGAGTCTCCCGGTTGTATACGTATGCGAGAATAATAAATACAGTATGGGAACGGCAACATATAGGCATTCGGCGAATACTGATTATTACACGCGAGGGGATCTGATTCCAGGTGTACAGGTGAGACAATAAAAAAGGGAAGAAAAAAAAAAATTCTTACATCAAGATCACTTGTTACAATTGGATAAATCTTCTTTTTTCTTTTCTCATTCACTTTTTATTTCAGGTAGATGGAATGAAAGTATTAGATGTTTACGAAGCTGCGAGATTCGCGAAAGATTACGCTCTACGGAAAGGTCCTATTATTCTCGAGATGGTCACGTATCGATACTTTGGGCATAGTATGGCGGATCCTGGTACCTCCTATCGTTCCAGAGAAGAAGTGAAATTGGTACAAGCCAAACAAGATCCTATTAAATGGTTGACCAAACAGATAATTGATAATGGTCTAAAAACTCAAGAAGAAATTGAAGTAAGAAATTGGGCACGTGCCATCTCTTCTCTTCTAAAACACTTCTTCTATTTTTACCTTTTCTCTTAATTTTCATTGCTTTTCTTCAATATCAATACATTTTGAGAATATTTTTGACGATATTTTAGACATACGAAAGTAACTTTCACTCTCAACAAAAAAAGAGAAAAGAAATTAAACTCGCGAAAGCTTTATTCTCAAATCTATCTAGTATTTTTAATTTCAATCCTTTCTAGGAAATTACAAAAAATACATACAAAATCGTAGACGAAGAATTGGAAATAGCTAAAAATGATCCAACGCCAGATATAACGGACGTCGGACTACATCTTTACGCAAAACCATTGGAAAAAGTACGCGGTAAAGTACCTTGGGAGAGTTGGTAAACTTAATGAGAAAATGGAATTAAATTTTTCGTTTACGCGTTGTTTTAAATATTTGTATACATATAGATATTCAATCTTTTTGTATCGAATGCATGCCCTCTCTGCATTTGTAATTTTTTTGAGTTTTCTGTATGTTTTTGATATCTCTTTAATGATTGAATACTTATTTAAAATAAACTAGTATTTAATCGAAACATTTTATATTTTATTAAACATCTTTGATATTTGAAATTAATATCAAAGATTCGATCGAGCAAATCCAAACGTTAAATTAAATATTGAATAAAAAAAAAACTTGTGAAATTCATAAATAAAAAGATAGAAATACGACTGTAGAGTCTGTGTTATGCGAATGGCCATGTTTGTTTCTCGCTCGTTTTCTTGCTCCGACAATTGGAATGATCAATTAAATCATATCGCGCTGCGTTGCGATCGAGAAAAGGAGAGAGTCTGAAGGAAGAGTAAGAAGATATTATGACTGTGACGAAGACAAAAAATTATTAAAGCAAAAAAGAACGATTGAGAAGAGTGAGTCAATGGTTCATAAGAACATTGTTGTAGTATAAGACAGTACTAAAGTAATAAAGGAAGGAGGGGACTGAGAAAGAGAGACAGACATAGAGAGAGAGAGAGAGAGAGAGAGAGAGAGAGAGAGAGAGAGAGAGAGAGAGAGAGAAGAGAGAAGAGTACGAGA